TTGCATTTATCTATTTTATCCCTTTCATTACTTTTATTCCATTTCTTTCATTTACCCATTTATCCTTTTGCACTCATTCATGCCAGTACATTTTTTCATCCCATACTATTTATCCATCCTATTTCAAATCCTTCATTTATCCCATTCTGTACTCTTTGCTCTTTCAACATGTCCTACACAGTAATACCATTTTATTGCAATTTCATTAACTCACCACTCTTCTGACAATGTTCTGTTGGTAGAGAACATCACACTAAAATGGCTCTCACTACATACCACCCATATTGGGAACTTAGGATTCTTGTAGTTCATGCCAATCTGTACAGAAGATATCACATGGTTTCTTCAATATAAAATGATGTTTAACTGAGGGGAGCGAGGGGAGGAATTGATTATGCTGCTAACTATTTTGTTCTAAACTTTCATCACATCCAGCCAGATGATGATGATGGTGATGATGATGATGGTGGTGGTAATGATGATGCTGATGATGCTGATGATGCTGATGATGCTGATGATGCTGATGATGCTGATAATGATGGTGGTGATGATGACGATGGTGATGATGTTGGTGTTAATGATGATGGTGATATGATGATGGTGGTGGTAATGATGATGATGATGGTAATGATGATGATGATGATGGTAATGATGATGATGATGGTGGTGGCGGTAGTTGTGATGATCATCACCATCACCATGGGGTGATAATGATGATGATGATGATGGTGGCTGTCATTGTTGTTGCTGTCCAATTAAATTGTGAATTTTATATTTAGTACACCTAATACCTGGCAGGAGCCATAATGTTCAAACAGCGACAGAAATCCAACATCAGCCTGTTTGTCTAGCCCCTTGAGTAGAACTGCTGCCGAAGACCCCCCAGAGTCTAATTCTATCACGTTATCAAATGCATTGGATGTTGCTCGGCCTGTGATGATCAAGTTGACCACTTCCTGGAAATAGTATAAACAAGAAAACACAGCAGTTGTTGGGAAATTAAAATATGGGAAATTGTTTGTGCCAGAACCTGATCTTAAATATCTGGTATCCATGGTAACCAATTGCAATTTTTGTTGAGGACCCTAGCTAAGTTAACCATGATCATGTGACAATGGTTGCCATAGAAATAATAGTATGACGATACCATAGTAACCAAGATCATGTGACCACATACCTGGGAGCAGTATCCATGTGCACCCATAAGTTCGTTGTTGGGATCATCCATATCTGATGCGACTCTGAAAGACCAAATGTTTTTCCTTATTGCCCATTTTGATAATTAATTATCAATAATTATCAATAATTATTACAAGACCAACACTGCCAGGGACGTCTGGGTTTTAGGCTCCCATCAATCAAAATCAATCAAACTAACTCGAGACTGTTGGAAATGTCATTACATCACTGCTTGTTTATTTGGGGGATAGAATCAAAATCCAATAGAAAATTCAACAACATTTTCTCCTGCCGAAACAGTTTAATCTAAAATGGCCTGGTTTTCAGATATAATATGCATTAATATGTACTAAAAAATATTCTGAGAGTTTGCTGGCTATTCCACTTCTCTTCATGGATAGATACGGTTATTACAACAATTTTCGGTGAAGTTGTGTTGATTTGACCCCCTCCGGTGACCATGATCCTTTGCATTTAAACAATAGATTGTTTTGATGTGACGTCATAGTGAAATAGGGCAATTATTACTGGCTAATTGCCTTGTTATGAAAATGGCTACAAGATGTTTTAAAGCATGGGTGGCATAGCAGTGAGAGTGCTTTCCTCTCACCAATGTGACCTGGGTTCAATTCTTGGACTCTTGGTATGTGAGTTAATAGAGTTGCTTGTTCATTCTCTTTCTTGCTTCAAGGGTTTTTCTCCGGGTTGGGGTTCTCCAATTTCCCCCCCCCCCCTCAAAGACCAAATCCTAAATTCTAATTTGATCTAAAAAGGGCCTAGATGAAAATTACTCTGTATAAATCTCAGTTACTAGATAATTAAATTGTGGGTTTTTTTCGTAACTAGTAATAATGCTCACTGTTTGATAGTTCTTGATAATATTGAAGAATAGAGTAAAAGTATACAGCCACTGCTGGATTGGTCCTCAAACTAGGGAAAAAAAGCATATCATTTACCAGAGGATTATTCACTAAATAGAAGCATAAGATAGAAATAGCAGAGAGAAAATCAAAAAATTGAAAACGGAAAAATAATAGGCTAATCAAATATTATAATGAGAAAATTGAAAAATGTACTATAATTAAAAACAGTTTGAAAATGAAAAAATTCAGAAAAAGGGAAAATGAATGAACGAATGAAACAAGAAAGAAAGAAAGAAAGAAAGAAAAAAAAGGAAGCATTACCTGTTTAATTTGTTGATTAATATAAGAATGTAGTCCATCCCGTGAAGTGTATGTACGAAGAACAAGCTGAGAGTGAAAAAAAAGTTCACATTAGATATGCAAAATTTAATCAACGTATTTTGTACAGTCCAGATGACTGATTATAGTCATACGGTCACACTAAAGCATTCTGATTGAATATAAAGAAACCATGTCATTGGTTCAATAGAATGCTATCAGTTTAAATACCAGTGGTTAGAAGTGACATTCACAAGAGAATCACAAGACAAAGGCACGGCAACTATATGTTGGTGCTATTAATAACATTAATAGCACGTGTACCCTCATTTAAAATCTATATACGAAGTAGTAAATCCTTCTTAATTGGTAATAAGGGAATGGAATGGGAAAAAGGGATAGGTCACTTTTTTTTTGAGGCCTCAAATAATCGTTGGATCATGAGAAAATACAGTAAGTCTCTCATTAGGACTGGTTTGATAATTATTATAATTTTTTTTTTTTTTTTTTTTTTTGACGACATTATATAGGCTGGGGTGGGACATACTTTATTGGGCTTAAAACAAGTGGTGGTGGGGTTGGGGGAGGTGGGCCATCAATTTTTTTGCCTTTTGAGAATTGAATAATTATGGCCCACCCACCCACCTGCTTTCTGACCAGTCCTTAAGATTGTTATTCAAGTTTTACTAACATTTTCAGTGAGTTGATCAGGTTTATATCTTCCAGCACCAACAAAATTAGAGTTGCCAAATCCAGCTGGTCTGAAAGAAAATAAAAATGCCATTCACAAAAATGTAATGGGCATTTCAATCTTAAGAAGGTTGGGAAATCAAGTGTGGCATAGGGTCCATAGGCACTCGCCTTCAGCGCCGTAGTGTCTCAGGTTTGATTTCTGGTCTTGATATCACACAAAGTTGGGTTTCTCTTGATTTGAGGGTTTTTCTCGAGGTTCTCTTGTTTTCCTTCCAACGAGTTGAATATTGATCATTTTTGTCTATGAGTTAGCCGTGCCCTGACTTAGATCAGCCCAGTGGTTGTTCCAGGGTTCTATATTTGAGTTGGCCATGCCCTGACTTAGATCAGCCCAGCGGTTGTTTCAGGGTTCTATCTGTGAGTTAGCCGTGCCCTGACTTAGATCAGCCCAGAAGGTTGTTTCAAGGTTCTATGTGTGAGTTAGTCATGCCCTGACTTAGATCAGCCCTGTGGTTGTTTCAGGGTTCTATCTGTGAGTTAGCCGTGCCCTGACTTAGATCAGCCCAGAAGGTTGTTTCAAGGTTCTATGTGTGAGTTAGTCATGCCCTGACTTAGATCAGCCCTGTGGTTGTTTCAGGGTTCTATCTGTGAGTTAGCCATGCCCCGACTTARATCAGCCTAGCGCTTGTTTCAGGGTTCTATCTGTGAGTTAGTTGTGCCCTGACTTAGATCAGCCCAGAGGTTGTTTTAGGGTTTGATCTGTGAGTTAGCCATGCCCTGACTTTGATCAGCCCAGAGGTTGTTTCAAGGTTTGATCTGTGAGTTAGCCATGCCCTGACTTTGATCAGCCCAGAGGTTGTTTCAGGGTTCTATCTGTGAGTTAACTGTCAGCCCTGACTTAGATCAGCCCAGAGGTTGTTTCAGGTATATAGCATACATTATGTGGAGTACTTACAGTGCCACTGTTGCAGACTTGTAGTCTCCAGCCTGCCAGAGGATATCAGTGATAGATGTTGCTAATGCTTTAGTCCTCTCATGAGGCAATGGCTGTAGACAGCTGGATGTAGAATGATATGAGGGTGGATAAGATAAAGATTTTCATCACTGTGCATAACCATCATGACTACAATTACCTTCTTGAATCTGATTTTCTTTGTTCTCCAAACAGAAGATTTTTAAGGACAAATGCTTGCACGGCAGCAAGAACACCACAAGGTCCACCCTGTGACATCCAAGAGTCATGAGTATATAATAATATTTAACAAAGTTCTTGAAATTGTAGATTTTAATCCCCCTAATTATCTTGCCCCTTTTTTTAACACTAATGATAAAAAGGTAAATTATACATCGTGAAAAGATGAAAAATCTTTCTGACATTTCGGACGCTAGTCCTTCATTGGAGTAAATGAAGGACTAGCGACAAAGGACTAGCGTCCGAAACGTCAGTAAGTTTTTTCATCCTTTCACAGTGTATAATTTACCTTTTTATCATTACTGTTTCATTAGAAACACCGACACAGCTCACACTAGTTTTTATCTAGTTATCTCTTCCTTTTTCACACTGATTTTCTGAACCCCCTCCCCCTGTATGCCAATGTACTCTCGCCTAATGTTTTGTAGTATAGACATTTTTAGTGGTCCTTGTTTCAAAAAGAATAGCATTCAATAGCTGACGGCTAACAAGCTACATGTGACAAACCCCTGCAGCCATCATTCAATGATGGAATTGGATTTGAAAGTTGATCACAAGAGTATTCAAGTGACAAGTGGAATATTCCACGATGTGGCATGAGAAAGCATTTACAAAAAGAATCTTATCTCACGCCATTGGAAATACCTAGGCTGCATTGCCTGATGGGAAGAACCAAATACTGCCGAATATACAACTTTCCTGGATTCTGATTGGCTGTATTTTTTGTAATGGGGGATAAAATGCAATTTTTAAAGTAAATTACAATGTTTAAATACCTTGTGCTGTACAATTCCATACTCCAAGCCATAATGATCACAGAAGTTAAAACTCTGTTGTCTCCATTCCTGGTTAAAACAACTTTTGGCTGAACCAAAGATAAGGTTCTTGAGAGCCTGTATATAAATACAAATAATTATTTTAATAAATAATGAATATTAAAGCAATGTGAAGTATCGGGGCGTAGCAGTGCACTTGCCCATCATCAATAATTTCTTATTTCTTAATTTCCCATTTACTTATTTTCTTTACCCTGTAGAGTCAACTTAAATCTTATTGCTTTTTTTCTTTTATTCTATTTAACCCCATTTATTCTGTTCCATTTCCTTCTTCCCATTTCCATTCACTTCTAATCGCTTACCATATACTGATGTTTTGACGTCCAATTTCAATTCCTGACTACTATCATTTTATTTTATTCAATCCCATTCATCCTTATTCATTCCCATTCATCCTTATTCATTCCCATTTATTCCTATTTTCAGTTCAGGGACTGAACATGTTCCTTTTATGTGTTTTTTGAGTCTATTGATTGAATCCCATTACTTCTTTTTAATTCTTTTTAATTAATCCCATTCATTTATTTCCTCTTACCATAGCCTGTTCCAATGATATTGGTTTGCTTTCAAAGTCTGCCGTTAGAGCATGCGTTGTACCTACAACAAAAGAGATATTATTAGGATATTATGATTCATTCAGATATCTATTAGTATATTATTAGGATGATTACAATCAACATTATGACTATGTACTTCAGTTCTTACCAAGAGACAGTTGTGCAATACTGTCATCAAGATCGTCATCAATGTCTTCAAACACTAGCTCCTCTTTCTGCTGCTGAAAGGAAACATAACATAATGATAAAGTCAGCCCTGCAATACAATGTGCAGGTACTAGAGAAAGAAAGAGGCCACATATTGCATAGGCACCGCACCTTAATGGTGCAGTAATAGGAAACAGGCAGTTTCCTATTTTAATACTAGTAATTGTATCACTTTCCAATCGCATGGCATGCACAAAAGAAATAATGGTATATAGCAGTTCAACATGATGTTTGTGTCATATATTTTTGCATTTTTACTTGAGAGTAATGCACAAGGTTCGCATCAAAGCAGTGGTCCAAAAATAGGAAGTACCTGATTTTTATTTTCTGGTATACAGAGAAGCCTCAAAGAATGCATTAGTATTTAAAATATAATGTGACGGCAAAACTGAGCAGTAAAAACGTTATACTGTAGTAGGAGGCCGGTAGATGAGCATGTTATATAATTATCTAATCTTGTATATAATTATATCATATATCATCTTGGTTGTTTACTACTGAATGCACCAATAATTCAATATTTTCTCCTTACTTGTTGGTTTTTCCTAGAACCTACAGATGAACCTGGTCTGAAATAGAATAATAATAGTAATAAATAAATAATATATTGCAGATAAATATGATAGGGAAGCAGAGGTGGTGTACGCCCCATTAATAATGAGCAGCCTCTCTCCAATGTGACACAAGTGATAGTGTGAGTTTCTTGACCAATCAGCGTGCAAGATTTTCAATAATCACCTGTGTATTTTTACTAATATTATTTAACATTATTCTTCATTCTTCATATTTTACCTTGAAGTTGCAGTCTTTTTAACCTTGTCAATCTTGTCTGAAATAGGACTGCTTTTGCTAAGGGAAAAAATGCATTGTGTAGTTCCAGAAATTATCCATACCCCCGACAGAGAAATTTGAAATTTACAAGGGGTAGGGGTCAGAGAAAGAACAGAATTATGAAGTTCGTATGGAAGAAAATTGGAATTTACGAGGGACAGGGCGGGGTCTGAAAAAATGCCTCCATGGGGGGTAGGATAATTTCTGGAACTAGATGTTTCAACTCTGTTGAAGGTGGGATACAAACTTAAGTATGTGTTTGAATGCCAATGCAATAATTGTTATGGGGCACTTACTTAAATATATGATTCTGTACTTCTTTTCTTGCAGATAAAACTCTTGTGTTTTCTTCTTTTTCACTCTGAAAAAAAATTAAAGAAATTTGAATGACGACAGACATTGTGTCGAATTAACAAACTTATAATTAACCCTAACCCTAACCTTAAAGCCTATGGACAAAGAAAATGGTATTTCCAAGGATTGTGAAAGGATTTGATATATTTAAAGTGCTACTCTGATAAAAATCGCTCAAACTTGGATTCAGCTGTAACTTCCTAAGAATACTCTTTAAAGGTCCAATAATCACTGTATGAAGTGTTTTCTCGATATTCAGGACAAAAGTATGGTATTTTTCCGATTATTTTTTGGAGTCTGTGACATCATACACTCAACATCAAACATTGCTACATATATTTCTTTGTATATAAATCCTTAATTTATTTTATTTCTATGAAGCCCACCCCTTTTCCATCAGTGCTTCATTTCAATCAATGGTAAAAGTCTACATGGTTTAGAGAGAAACCAGGTATGCACAATGGATGGGGTCATAAGTGGCAATGACTACATATACAACCCTTTTTTAAGGTGGCCGCAACACACAACTAGCTAACTAATAGTGACACTGTCAAGGTATATTTAAGTATTTGAGATCATGAAATCTACATACTGATAAAATATCATCTTTGTTTAAGGTGTCCATATGCCTCTTAAAACTGACATCATCAGAGGATGTTTTAACTGCCTGGAATTTATGCCCAGTAATTGCCAGTTCTGATGTCTGTCTTTTGGTATGACCTGGTCTTTTCCCTCTCATTCCAGCAAGACCAGAACTAACGACAGGACCTGCCAGGCCTGCACTGCGTGTTCTACTCCGATGAGTCTTTGAGGGGGTAAAACTACTTGATGCTGTTTCTTTGGCAGGAGGGATATCGATATTCTCTGTTAATGGAATGGAAGATATATGGACCACATCTTTTATTTCTCTTTCCTTGGAGACCCTCTCGGACTTTTCAAGTCTCTGCAGAAGATCAATGTAGTCTAGTTTGTCTTCAGAAAAATTCTCTGTTAATTCCGATGGCTTATTAACTTTCCTGTTTTTATCAGCAGACAATCTCCTTTCTCTGATTGAAAAAGAAAAAAAAAGATTTAAAAAGAGAACTTATAATTCTTTTTACCCCTCCCTGGGCACCCCTCCCCTGGGGTGACTCGTTCTACTGTCATACCTTGTAGATCTGACCCCTGTTCGGGATAGGGTGGTACCATCTATTAACCCCTCCCTGTGCACCCCTCCCCTAGGGTGACTTGTTCTACTGTTATACCTTATAGATCTGACCTCTGCTGGGGATAGGGTGGTACCATCTATTAACCCCTCCCTGCTCACCCCTCCCCCAGGGTGACTTGTTCTACTGTTATACCTTGTAGACCTGACCCCTGCTGGGGATAGGGTGGGTACCATCTATTAACCCCTCCCTGTGCACCCCTCCCCCAGGGTGACTTGTTCTACTGTTATACCTTGTAGACCTGACCCCTGCTGGGGATAGGGTGGGTACCATCTATCAACCCTCTCTGTTCACGCTCACACCTCCCCCAGTGTAACTTGTTCTTATTACTGTATAATAAAGTACTCATATACCTTGCAGATTTAAACCCTGCCGTGGATGGACGACTAGTATCAGGTACTGTTGCATCCTTCTTGGCAACATTAGTGGTAGATGATGAGAGCCCTTTCTCCCTGAAGTACTGTACTATCACCTCTAACATGGTACGATAGACGATAGTATGTTYCTAAATGGAAAAAGACACCTATGTCTTAGTACTTTATTACTTTATAGAGTCTGTAGCTAACAAACCTGTGGGGCTTTTCCATTATCAAATTGTCATTTAGAAAATGATTCCTGTGGAGGGAGGAAAACTGGGGGGAAACCCTCAAAGTAGAGCAAGTCTGATGCGGAGTTAGTTCTTGGATTAAATCCTTGACCGGAGGTGAAAGGCAACACCTTAGCAATGCACAGCACCTGCGCTTCCCAAATTAAGAAGCATCCAAAACTATATAAATACAATTTCCTACCTCACAGAAATCTTGTAATTAGTTTGTATAAATAAACAATAAAATAGAGGATAGCACTTGACAGTTAAATTAGTGATATTTTCTTGGTCCTTTTTAATGTCTCTAGCTTATTATGGTTGCGGCTCATAGGACCACCATCAGCATGGCCATTCAAACCAAGTAAAGGTCTAACCAATTGTTAATTTATTACAAAGGCAGCAACTTCTCCAAGTTATTTTAAGACCCTGAGTGTTTGACTGGTCTGGGACTCAAACCACAATCTAATGCACAGAAGACAGACATTTTCACCAATAGTCCCCTTCACAGTTCCCTGCGCCATCTTGAAAGGTAGMAGTGCCTTTGCATAGTAGCGAGATGAACGGTGAGCTTACAATGATAGAGACCTTTTTTAACACCTTGGACAATTATTCACATGCCTCTATCATTGCAAGCTCACCGTTCGTCTCACTTCGATGCAAATGTATGGCTACCTTTCGAGATGGAGCATAGAACTGTGAAGGGAACTATTGAGCTTACCTTGTTTTTCTTCATCAATCTCTCAATATGAATCTCCTTTGCTAGTTGAGCTCTGTTACTGACACTGTGCAAATTAAAGGTAATGATCGTCATATCCGTTTACTGGATGCAAGACAATCAATATTTTCTGAAGCATTCTACTAAGAACTTTAAATTAATGAATAATACACTGTTGTCATATTGGCTGATGAGCGCACGAAAGCCACCCACTCAATTTGCAAGGTTGAGCAAGGCTGCTCATTCAAAATAAAGGTGGATAGCACAATTCAGGTCAAAACAAAAGGTCAACTTCTATATATGCATTTCATGTGCTTCTGTGTCTTTTATTGTATTGGACTAATGACTGGGTGACCTCGTTTTTATGCACTTATCAGCCATAATGAGAAAGGTGTATAATTATCTGAAGTTTCCATATTGTAGAGATGCAGGTGGTTATCAATGTGTGATATCACGTTTGACAGTCAAAAGTCCTTTCTTACCTATGCTCATCTCTGGGCATCTCCTGGTCCAACACTGCCAAGGAATTTTTCAATCCCTGTTGAATGATATCATACAGTACATGTATAGGTACATCGTTGTGACCATCTCTGGGTAGCTTTCTTAGAATGTACCCCCCCCCCCCCCACACAGAGGCATTTTTTCAGACACCCTCTACCCCAGGAAGTTCCATTTCTCAAAGCTCGGTCCGTACGGCATCACCTCAAGCCAAATATTTTCCCATACAGCCCTCCCACTCACTTAATAAGTACATAATAAGCTTACAGTTTTATGTGCAATAGAAAGTCACAATATTGAGTAATGTGGAATATAAGTTATAATGAATAAATCATAATTAACTATTATGTAACTTGTATGTGACCAAATAAAGTTCATTATGCATCTAGACTTAGACAATAACACAGACAACACAGATTTCCAGTGAGCTCAGAAAGCTTTTAAAGTCTTACGAAGGCAAATTTCTCAACAGAAAAAAATATCACTGTTACTTGAAAAATTGGGAGAGCTCTGCTGGTCAAAAGCAGTAATCAAAAACCAAAATTAGTATTTGCTCGCATGAAAAGTTAACCTTCATAATCGATAATTTATATAAAAAGGTTATTTATATAAGCTTAAACAGGAGATAACGGTCTTACAAAGACACACAAGGTTTATAAACACATTACCAAGGCGACAGTTGCTAGGAGTGTTAAAAAGTATCTTTTTTCTCCAGAAATGCTAAATATCTTCCAAAAAATAAAACTTAGGTATAATAAACTGTTTATCACAATTAGAAGAGTGTGTTTTTTTACCTTTCTGCTGAGATATTCTCGCACAAGAGAAGCCGTCAAAGATTCAACATCGTCCGCCATCATTCAAACCAAACGCTCGACTAAAAGCCGCTTAATTAAAACTTCCTTTGACTCCAGCAGCTCAGGCTAGGTAAAAATATCATAATTGATCGTAGGAGTTTTGATTCTGAATAGTTTTGAAGCTTTCTTTGGATAAAATTTGATAAAATGCGAGTCAAACAAAAACAAAAACAGTTAGAAAATGTTTTGCATTTAGGGGGAGACCGCTGAGACAGTGCTTGACTCATAAAACACAGGAAGCCCAATAAGAGTATGAAATTCAATTGTCTTCTCGTTTTATGTTCTTTCCTTTTCTTTTTTCTTTCTTCAAGATTTTATTCCTCTTCACTTTATTAATTTACAAGTGATGAGAGCTCACATTGTTAATTCAATATATATGAATGGTAATTCGTGCACCCTCACCTATTTTAAGTTTTTACAGGGGCGGATTTGGGAGTGGCCCAAGCCTTCCCCCCTACCTCCTTAAGTGATGTGTGTTTTTTTTTTCGCATACGATAATGTAGGTTTTCTGACAAGTTTTCCGGCCCACCCTTTTTTCTGGCTAACCCTTTCTTTGATTCCTGGATCCGTCGGCTGTTGTAGACCTTTTTTTCTTGACATATCACAATAAATGTTATATTACTGAACAAACCACACTTTTACAACTTTTTATTTTTTCACTGGTTCGTATAAACCATCAAACTACAACTATGAACACAACTTTCACAACGTACTGAATTCAGCCCAAAAATATGGCTTACGGTTACTATCATGTGTTACATGTAAATAAGTATCAGTTTATATATAATATAGGTATATGAACGATTCCATTCCCATCTGTTTGACGCCAATTTTCTATATAGTCTATACTAAAAATTACATCAATTTTGCATGATCATCCTACACTACATGATGGGCTTCCTATGTCATGGTATCGTACTGCCCTACATCTCACATCTCGCTAAAGAGAAGTACTGTAATCCCTTTTTCCTGTTCTTTTCTTTT